TTTGGGTGAAACTAAGTGGAGGAGGGGACAACAGTTGGAAACGGCTGCTAATACGAGGAGCAAAAGGAGATATCAGATATGCAGCCAAATCGAAAACTTAACTTTCACAATATTTTTTTGTTGACAACCAAATAATCATCAACGTTTTGATCACAAGTCTTTCTTAAAAGGGAAATGTTGGGGGGTATGGGTTCAGAACCCTACACCCTCTCACATGAGGACACACCTCAATAAAAAAGTAAAAGAAAATTGCCCCTACCCTGTACCCAAAACATTTTCCTTTCGAAAAAGCTACAAAAGTAAAAGTTCCATTAATAAGGTTTCACCCATAACAGCCATGCCAAACATACCCTAACAAAATCCAAAATTTAACCAAGTCGTCGTCTACTCACCCAAAACCAATATTCTTCAGATTGATTTCGTTTTAACCTTCGGTTTCTACTCCAAATTTTGGATGAATTTATGGTAAACAAAAATATTATGGAGGTGTAATTATTTTGTGCAAACTAAAAGAGGGAAAAAAAAATTCTTTAAGCAAAAACAATGCTTTCAATACTACACCATATTTAAGCAAAAAATAAAAAATAAAAAAATGGTTTATAATTATACTGTCTATACTGCTGTTTTCCTCAGTTCCTCTGCAAATTGATTACGTAAAAATCCTTTCCTATGATAATTACTTATCTTTCTCCATTGAAATGTTGTTTATCATCTCCATCGTATTGTTTACCATCTGCTTAATTTTGCTAATTAACTTGGACGGAACAAGATTTTACTTATTTTTCTTCTTTAACGCTATTCGACGGACACTATTCAATGCATTATTGAGAAGCTCTGTCATTATATTTTTGGTCTTTACAGCTACTTGACTCATGAAGTCTTCGTCAACCTGATTCCTCTTGCTTTGCTTGTTGAATAAATTGCTCTCTTCTTTTCTATTCTTTGCTTCATTAGCTTTACAAATTTCGTACACCTTTTGCTGTTTGTAGAATAATTTCTTTTTTCTTTTAAACTTTACCCAGTCTCCAATGGGACATGGTAACTTAAAGGCAAAGTAACCCGGCTCACACCTGGCATAAATTCAAGCATGATAATGAGAGTTTTTTTTGACACTTGTTTTAGATTACAGGGAGAGATGATGGACACTATCGAGTGCTAGAAATATAAATCATATCTAAAATCGAAATCAAATTTAAATGTAAACATCCTAGATTAAAATTATCAAAAACATAGTATTTACATCATGCCGAATATTAGGATTTATAGATTCGGGTTATATATCTGGATCCATTATGAACGATTATTAACTGTTGCGAAATTACTACGACAATCGATCACGTATTGATGAACACGAACGAAGGGGTATGGTTTGTAATCTTCCTTAATCAAATCGCTTTATTTCCTCAATGAGACTGTCGTCTCTCTTCCAGATGGGGAGAAGGGAAATTATGTATGATTTAATGTATTGGGGACCATAACCAAAATAATCTTTATATATTGCATAATTAGAGTTCCTATAATCCCTTATTTATAACAATATTGATATCTACTCAATTAGCTCATATTTA